GCTTCACTGAGTTACGCAAGCCCCTTCACCACGACAAGGCAGTGATCCATGAAGGGGAAAGCTTCTCCTCGTTCTCTTTTTTTAATCTAAAGCATAATACCAATTATGCCCATCCGCTTGCGGGGCAGACATCGCTGGCCAGTCCAACCTTCTTAAATTACTTTTTGAAACAAGAGAGTAACAGAAGAGCAAGGGAATCTTACATTGCAGAAATCAGCTTGGTTGTAGCTCCCCTTTTTCACTCAGGTGAAACCTGCAATCCTGAACTGAAGGTGACCACGTCAATCTAATTGGTATTGTTATAAAATGCCAGTACGGGAATGATTTAGCTAATTAGGTACTCAGATAAAAAAATGCAGTTATTGGTTCGGTTTGAGTCAAAAGTGAAGAAAGTAGAGAAGGGGAAAAAATTAAGAAATTGGTAATAAGTTTATCTTTAAAGTTTGTATTTCCATTCTGTTTAGATGGTGAAGCTGCAGGAGATATTTAAGACTTTTTATCTGGGAAAACACAGTGGCAGGAAACTTCAGTGGCAATCCACATTAGGACACTGTGTATTGAAAGCTGAATTCAAAGAGGTAACATTTGCTTTGGGGCATTTTTTTCATACATGGAAATCATTTTATAGATTTGAAAGATGTGTCAGAGTTGCTTAAGCAAACCTTACTTGAGAATGTTTTCTGACCCCTGAAGTGTGTTCAGCTCCCTTGAACTTTACTTGCTCTGTTTCATTTCTGTTCATATTTATTGGTCAACTCTGCCCTGATACCTTTTGCAGCCTTTAATGGAACACCCTTTCATTAACACAGAAGGGAAAATTTTCCCCACTCAGTAAAAATCAATGAAATTCAAATGCCAGTTAGGACCACTTGTAACTTAAATGTACTTGGAAAGCAATCAACCTGCTTTTCTTTATTGGCTGTAAGCACAGATTCCTGAAAGAAACTCTCCATGGGTTGGTTGAAAAGGGCTAAGTACATATTGTTTCAAGAATGGGAATTTAAATGTTTGTCCTGATAATATATGCAATTGCACCAGAAAGCCTCCGCTGTTGCTTCAACCCAACCTCTGACCTAAGTGCCTTCCAGATGTGTGGACTACAGTTCCAAGTAATGGGGAGGCAGTTGACTTCATGCTCAGTGATGGTTGGTTGGATAGCATGACCCCTATCACGGAGAGGGCAGAATTAACCATTTATGTCCAGCATGAAATCCACATGCTGGCTGGGGAATTCTGGGAGTTGAAGTCCACACATCTTAAAGTTGACAAGGTTGAGAAACACTGACCTAGAGCATCAGATCTTTAGTGTAATAACTTGGCAATAATTATGGATGTGATTTCTGCCAGCCTTCTGGCTCCTGCTCGTGCAGACATAGATATCTTTAAAGCCAGGACTTCAAGTCACAAGGGGCACCCCCGTACTCTTTGTTCAATTTGTCTTTCTTTCCGGCAGGGCAAGAAAGAGCTGCAGGTATCTCTGTTCCAGACTTTAGTGCTACTTATGTTTAACGAAGGTGAAGAATTCAGTTTAGAAGAAATAAAACAAGCTACTGGAATAGGTCAGTATTGGTTGCTGCTTGAAACGTCTGAGTACGCACAATTCAAATGCTGAAGTGTGGATGTGTCTCCTTCCCTTTGCGTGTGTTTGTGTCTCTCTGTTGCAGAGGATGGAGAGCTAAGACGGACCCTCCAGTCATTAGCCTGCGGCAAGGCCCGAGTGCTGGCCAAAAGCCCCAAAGGCAAAGACGTGGAAGATGGAGACAAATTCACTTGCAATGATGACTTCAGGCATAAACTCTTCCGGATAAAAATCAATCAGATCCAGATGAAAGAAACGGTAATTTGTTTTCCTTTCCGGTTACCTTCATAAACATCCTGGGCACCAGTCTAGCACCCTAATCCGTGGCAATATCGCAGCAGCCCCATCAGTGTAGTTTTCTAATTGTCAGCTCCAGCTTTCTGTTTGTAGGAAGCGTAAGCAATCTCTTAAACCAGTGTTGTCCAAACTTGGCCAGTTTAAGATGAGTGGACTTCAACTCCCAGAATTC